GGTACATTTGTTAGAATAGATGAACTCACATGGACACACCATTATTACCTAAAGTCCATTTTACAGTTTACATTAGGGTTCACCCTTGGTATTGTACATTCTATGGGTTTGGACAAATGCATGACTTGTATCTCCCATCACACTGTTGTACAAAACAATCTCACTGCCCTGCCCCCAAACCCCTCTGTGTTCAGCCTCTTCATCCCTCCCTATCATACATTTTTTTCAAGACCAAACACACTTTGTTTCAACCTACTTTAAAAAAAACAACGAACACAACTGTCTTTTGGATCCTTTAAAAGGGTCAGTGGTGCTTAAAACTGACTCCTTGGGCAAGACCTTCCTTCCTTCCTACAACCGTGAACTTCCCCAGGACAACCTTCAGCCATGGAACCCCTTTGGGGTTCAGGGTTACTAGAGGAGTGGGACCTGGCTCAGGCCACAGGAGGAGCCCTCCCCTGGGCCTGGCTGGACCCAGGACCAGTCACAGCCATCCCCTCCCAGTGTCTACACATCTCCCCCTCCCGCTCAACCCCCACTTCTCCAGGATGGCCCTCACGGAGGAACAGCAGGTGATGTTTGAGAAGCTGACTCTGTACTGTGATAGCTACATCCAGCTCATCCCCATTTCCTTCGTGCTGGGTGAGCTCCCGCTTCCGGGTGTCCACGTCCGGTGGCGGCTCCAGGCTCCAGGGACCACGAGAAGCTAGAGGGTGGAGGCCAGTGTCATATCAGTGCGTCTTGGTAGTTCAGGGAAAGGGGGCGACTGCAGCCAGAGGGACTGACGTTAGATATTACAAAGGACTCCTGCTGTGAGCACGAAAGACCTCATTTTCTGAGGGCAGCGCTGACGTCATGGTCCCTGGAGCCTCCACGCAGGAGGGAAGGAGTCTGGAGGGTTTCTGGGATGGGCAGGGGGAGGCCGGGATAGATAACTCGAGGCTCTCCGCCTTCACGCGGGGCTCGATGATCTTCCCCTCCCGAGCGCCTTCCAGGAGGGTTGGGGCTGAGCCCGCTCCCGCTAGAAAGGTGGAGAAACCGAGGCGTCGCCCTCTCTGAGCTCTGGCTGCAGCCTGGGCCCTCGCCCCTCGCCCCCCTCCCCGCCCTCCGCCCTTCCTGCCCAGGATTCTACGTGACGCTGGTCGTGACCCGCTGGTGGAACCAGTATGAGAACCTGCCGTGGCCCGACCGCCTCATGAACCTGGTGTCCGGTTTTGTGGAAGGCAAGGACGAGCAAGGCCGGCTGCTGCGGCGCACGCTCATGCGCTACGCCAACCTAGGCAGCGTGCTGATCCTGCGCAGCGTCAGCGCCGCCGTCTACAAGCGCTTTCCCAGTTTCCAGCACCTGGAGAAAGCAGGTTGGCTGGGACGGAGCTGGAGGTGGGTGGAGCCAGAGGCCCGGGCGGAGGACTGGGGTGGGGCTGAGACCTGGGGTGCAAATTGCCCAGGTAGACTTAGGTGCCAGGAGTGGGGCCCAGGAAGCTACCCTAGGAAGACAGGGGTTTGAAGGGCTAAGGACCCTTGAAGGATTAGGGAAGAATAGGTAGGAGATGGGGGACCCCAGAGGGAGATGAAGGCCTTGGGAAGTGGTGAGGAACTAGGGTNGGATGCAGCAAATACTCCCCCAGGGCTGTCCCTGATCTCTGAACAGACTCCCCCATAACTGTCTGCTGTGATTAGAAAAGAACCCAAGATCATTGTGAAATAATTTCTTTCTAGGCATTGAATTATCAAGGCAAAAATGGTGTGCACGAATATTGCCTATAATCTCAGCATCGGAACACTTAGGAGTATGTCAGAGAGACAGAGAGAAAGGAGAGGGAGGAAGGGGTGGGGGATGAATTTATGTTCATGCCCAAGGTAAGACTGCAAATCAGGGCTTCTCCATGTGCTGTCGGAGGACGACTGGCATCACAATCCCGCAGTGCCTGTAAGAAATGCAGCATCTCCTAGATCGCAGACTCAGACTCTGGAGAAAGATTCTGAGAAGATTCGGTTAACAAATATTCTCAGCCAATCTTATGGCCACAGAAGAAACAGGGGCCACTGCTGCTTCGAGCTTTCCCTTAATACAAGAGGAACATGTCCTAGGCACACACATCATTTCCAGTGGCTTAGGCGGGCCCTGGCATATGGGTTGATGTATTAAAATATATGAAGCCAGCTGCTGAGATATTGACAAGCTGTTCTTGGGGACCCGGGTACATATTCCATTTCACATGGGCTGCTGGGAGCCAGCAGCATGAACACCAGAGCTGCTGTATCATCCCACACCAGGCCCGGCCCACACACAGCAGGCCCCTTCCCCCGTTTCTTCCACGGCTCAGACGCAACCTACTAACTGGGTTCTGCCAGCCAGTCACAGCCCAAATAACCTATGATGTCACCAGCAGCCAATCAGAGCTCCTCAACAGTATACACAGAATTCTGTCACTCTTACAGATAGGGACACTGAGGCCTAAAGAGGAGCAGAGGCCACCCAGTCACCACACACAGGTGACAGGGCCAGGACTTCTGACCGTGGCTCACAGTGCTGCCAATGCCCTGCAGGGCCTGGGCAGAGTCTCCCCCTCTATGGGCAGCTCCTGGCACAGGAGCTGAGGCCCTGGACCCCTTGGACCCTCCTCCCCACAGCTCTCCCAACAAGATCTCAGGGGTCAGAAACAGATCCCTCAATTTCTGGATTTTAGGGCACTGAGAAAATGGCAGGATTGGCAGGGCCTGTGGTGGAGGGAGGTTGCCCGGAATTTCAGCCCCATTCTCAGCCCCACGGCCAGGAAGGAATTAGAGGGTCCTGGCAGATTGTGCCGGCTGCTGCTTATGGGCAGATTATGAGGAGGGGCCAACACAAGGGCTCCTTTGTGGAGGTGCTGGCTTAGGGAGTCAAGTGACTGCTTAGCACAGGCGTGGGCAGTGCCAGCCCTTATGTGTGGGCAGAGACACTGGCCACAAGACCCCAGAGAGCCCCGCTGGTCCAGTGGCCAGACCTTTTGTGGGCTCGCCTGACCAGCCTGGAGACCCACCTGTGAGTAGGGGTTGCCCAAGCGGGCTGGGCTGAGGCTTTGAGAGCCGTTGGGGTGGATGGTTATCCCTGAATACGTGTGTGTGATGTATACACACAGGCCAAAATGTGTGCAGGTGTGTGGGCACCTGTGTGTCTGTGCAAAGGCCCTGAGGTGGGAATGAGTTTGGTGTGCACCAGGCACAGAAAGACAGCCAGGGTGGCTGCATCAGAGCAAGTGGGGGAAGAGTGGGTGTCAATCATTGCTTCAATCAATTTTTACGGAGCACCTCCTTTGAGAACACAATAGGAACCTCCATTCTAAGGAAGCAATATGCAATAAACAAGCAGATGGCCTGCAAACTATAATTTTAAGTAGAGTATAACACGATTAAATGCTGTGTAGAAAAACTGAGCAAGGTGAAAGGACAGGAAGTGTGGGTGGCACTGGGATGCTATTTCCAGGTAGGGTGGCTGGGGACATTGTTTCTAGGGAGGTGGCCTGAAGTGGGAATAAGCCATACAGTTAGANAGGTGATGGTGGGTAGTGGAAAGGCACAGGATTCAAAACAGAAGACCCATATTCCAGTCCCAACCTAGCCCTTAACAGCTGGGTGACCTTGGACAAGGCAGGCCTTGAGCTTTATAATCCTCCTCTGTAAAATATGGAGAATAATGCCATATTGAACCGTTCCTCAGTAATGCCTCTCTGACTTTTCATGGGCTGTTCCCCTGATATATAATGCTCTTCCATCCTTCTCATCTCAGATGAATGCCTACTCATGCTTCAAGACCCTGTTCAAGTGCTCCCTTCTCTGTAAATTTTCCCTGACCTCTGTGCCCTTGGCATAGATATTAGGCCTGCTGTTCTATTAGAGTTGTTTGTTCCCCTGGTTTTCATTGGACTATGAATTCTTTTTCTTAATTTATTTTTCAATTATGGTTGACATACGATATTATATTAGCTTCAGGTGTATAAGTGATTAGACATTTATATAACTTATGAAGTGATCGTCCCATTAAGTCTAGTCCCCATCTGACACCACACATAGTTATTACAATATTATTGGCTGTATTTCCTATGCTGTGCTTCACATCCCCATGACTTTTTATTTAATATTTATTTATTTATTTTTAATGAGGAAAGCTATTTTCTTTTTCTTTTTTTTTTAAAGGATTTTATTGGGAAACAGTGTGTTTTTCCAGGACCCATCAGCTCCAAGTCAGGTAGTTGTCTTCAATCTAGTTGTGGAGGGCGCAGTTCCGTGGCCCATGTGGGAATCGAACCAGCAACCTTGGTGTTATGAGCAAATACACTCTAACCACCTGAGCTAACCGGCTGCCCACCCATGACTATTTTCATAACAGGTAATCTGTACTTAATCCCTTTTACCTTTTCACCCATCCCCCCAACCCCATCCCACCTGGCAACCATCAATTTGTTCTCTGAATCTGTTTGTTTTGCTTGTTTTGTTCTTTAGATTACACATGTAAGTGAAATCATATGGTATTTGTCTTTCTCTGTCTGACTTATTTCACTCAGCACAATACTCTTTTAGGTTCATCCATGTTGTCACAAATGGTAAAATTTCATTCTTCTTTTTTTTTTTTTTTTTGGGGCATCCTTCCACCCGTTGGGCTGCTCAGCTCGGGCCAGGACTCAAACTGCTGTTGCTCAGAGCTCAAACCCTTGAGCGAGCTCTTAACCAACTGAGCCACTCGGCTGGCCCTAAAATTTCATTCTTTTTTATGGCTGAGTAATATTCCATTATATATATGTACCACATGTTCTTTATACAATAGTCTATTCATGGACACTTAGGTTACTTCCGTATCTTGGCTATTGTAAATAATGCTGCAATGAACATAGGGGTGCATATATCTTTTTGAATTTGCATTTTGGATTTCTTCAGATAAATTGACTATGAATTCTGGGAGGCATGAATCAGGATAGTCTCAGTTTTGACCTCAGAAATGGTTTGTTGAATGACTACTTTGCAGAATGGAAAGCAGAAGAGGTCGACTCTGACTGGGCTGGGCCCCATCCTTGGGCCCAGGGATCAATCCTGGGGTCCTTTGTCCAAGCATGGCATGGGTCATTCGGTGCTTATTGTGGCCTTTCTGTGTACCTGAGCTGGGCCTGGCTGGCTGGGGACATTTTCGTGGTTAACATCCAGTGGGAGAGACCGTGACTTGTGCCTGGGGTATACCTGTCTTAGTGCTGAGGTGGTGTCAGGAGCAAATAGCTGCTCAAGGAGTGTCTCTAGGGATATCCTGGGGTATCTGGGAGGGGAAAAGGGACTCCAGCAGCACTGTCAGTTGGTCCTGGGGACTTGGGGATATTGTCAAGGAACCTGCAGTTCAGGGGAAAGAGAGGGAGAACTCCAGTTTTTCCCAACTCCCTCTCATGGCTTCTAGTCAGAGTCAAGGAGATGAAGGAGCCCCCAGTGTCCCCTCCAGGATCCACACAGACGGAGCAGACCAGGATTCCAGGGCCAGCCAGAGCCAGTCAAGGGCACCCTCCAGTGGCTACCACAGGAGAGGCAAGAGCCTACCCAGCAAAGGCTGGTGTTCTATTTATTCCTCCAACTAAATACAAAAGGAA